TATTAGTGATAATTGTATGAAGTAGGTTAAGAAGTCCAATTAATGGATGCGCTACTGCATATAGAAGAAGATATGGGCTTACTATTGCATGTTCTTCGAACAATGAAGATATAACAATTGTACTTCAAATATTTAATTATTGATATTACTAAAACTAATACATAACACAAATCTATCATTTCGATATATTTAAATGCATTAAAATAGGCCTGTAAGAAGATTTAATTACATTAATACGAGTCTATAAAATTGATTGCATTAAAATAATTCGTGAAAAGATTTAATCATATTAAAGTAAATCTGTAGAAAGATTTGAATATATTAGAGCAGGTCTGTGGAAGATTTGATATCATTAAAATGGAAGCTAATAAAACAATGGTAAGAATTTATTATAGTATTTTTTTTAATTATAAAATACAATGATATAAATTTATTTAATTTTATGCATTTTTATATAGTTGCGCATCAGAAAAAAATACATTGTTTTGGTAATTTATCGGTGCCAAAACTACAGGTATGATTAGAGTTTGGAACTGGATATGACCTTTGAGTTTAAATCTGATTTTCTGAATCTGCGATACTTATATTGTCTGTACAAATACATAGGAAACAAAAGTATTTAACCACCTATAGAATTTCTATAATGATAAAATAGTTTTTTCTTAAGTGATCAATGTTTGCTACTAAGTATATGTACGTATATATATACAATGATGCTACTATCAACCTAGGCACAACCTAAATAAATTCGGTTCCAAACTCTAGATAAGATTATAATAAATATTAATGAAAACAATAAGAATAATGTGAAATGTATTTAAAGTCAAATATCAAATAGAACACAAGATAACTACTAATAAAAAAAATAACAATACATCTAATAAAAAACAATACATTTTATTAATAAATAGAATTATTACCATTATAATATATAATAAAATATATCAATACAAGATTCAATTTTCTAATTTATCGAACAAAATCTATTCATACTCCTTGGTTTAAGTTGAATTTTTTAAATACTTTAGTTTCACTTCTTCATCTTTGCCTGAATCGCACTCCTAACATCCATACCTTTCTTATAACTAAATTGCCTCACAACTACTAAAATTCTCTATTATGCACTACAAATAATATCATATCATGCTATAATTTCTCATGTCTTCTCTT